GGGGGGGGAGGGGAGTTTTGACCCCGGGGCCTTCCGCATGCTGAGCAGATGGTCTGCTCCTGCGCCCAGGGCCCATCTCCCTTCTCCCCCCCCCTTCTGGACCCCATTTCTCTGGCCATTAAAGTGCTAACCTTAGTCCCGGGGGACCCGCTTCTTTCTCCAACCCTTGGGGGGGTGGGTGGGAGGAAGACCCAGCACAGGAGGGGCTGCGGCACAACTTTAGCCAGCACCGACTCCCAAGAGGCAGCCGGGATCCAGAGGAGGCAGCAGCTCCACGAAGTGCGTCTTCAAGCAGGGAGAGGAGCCTGTTGAGCCACCAAAGGTCAAGAGCGACAGAAGCTGCCGGCCCTTTTTGCTCAGTTGCTGTGGCGGCATGCAAAGGGAGCTGAAGGCAGGCAGGGATGGAGCGCCTCGAGCACGGCCAGCCTCATGCAGCGCTGCCAGATGACGACGTCCCCCCGCTGGAAGCCAGCAGCCCGGCCCTCGGGCTGTCCCCCGCTCGGAGCAGTTCCAACTTGGCCGGACTTCGGGAGGCTGGGGCATGAGAGGCGGTGGCGGCAGCGAGGGCGCCCCGGATGGGCTCTGCTGGAAGCTGCAGGCGCGGGGAAAGACCCTGGAGGGCACCGGGTGGCAGATGCACCTCTGTGGTGGCCGGGGGAGGCAGGTGCAGTGACAGTCCTCGGTGGGCGGGAGCGGCCCGGCAATGAGCGGTGGATGGCAGGGCAGCACTCTTCTGAAGGCGGCACTCTAGGCAACCGTCTAACTTGGCTATATGGATGCGCCAGCCCTGCACGGCCCCGAGGGCCCTTTACACAGACGTAAATGTACTAGGGCAGAGGGACACCCAATGAATTTGATAGGCAGTAGATACAGTCATGTATGGCTGCGAGAGTTGGACTATAAGGAAGGCCGAGCGCCGAAGAATAGATTTTTTGAACTATGGTGCTGGAGAAGACTCTTGAGAGTCCCTTGGACTGCAAGAAGAACAAACCAGTCAATCTTAAAAGAAATCAACCCTGACTGTTCCCTGGAAGGCCAGATAATGAAACTGAAGCTCAAATACTTTGGCCACCAAATGAGAAGGGCGCACTCACTGGAGAAGAAGACCCTGATGCTGGGAAAGATTGAAGGTCAAAGGATGAGATGGTTAGACAGTCATAGATGCAACGAACATTAAATTGAGCAAGCTTCAGAGGACGGCGGAAGACAGGAGGGCCTGGCGGGAGCTGGTCCATGGGGTCACGAAGAGTCGGACTCAACTGTGCGACTGAACAACAACAACAAAAAAAGATTCAGGATGGACAAAAGGAAATACTACTTTACGTAGACAGTGATTAGAATGTGGAATTTACTACCAGAGGATGTAGTGATGTCCACAGGCATGGACACCTTCTAAAGGGGACTGGACAGATTCATGGGAGAGAGGACTATCAGTGGCTACTACCCATGTTGACTTAAAGGAACCTCCACGTTCGGAGGCAGTGAACCTGGATCCCAGGAGCAGGAGGCAAAATCGGGGGAAGGCCTTGGCTTCTGTGTCCTGTTGTTGGCTCTGCAGAGCAACTGGTTGGCCAGTATCTGAGACAGGAGGCTGGATGGACCCTCACTGCTCTGATCCGGCAGGGCCCTTCTCAGGTTCTTATCCTCCGACAGAGACCCCAAAGGCAGAGGCTTGACCGTGTGACTCCGGGGCCTCTTCCCTGGAAGGAGCTGTGGGGAAAATGGCTTCTTTTCTGCACACCACCCCCCTCACAGCCCCATGTTTCGTGGATGCTATTTGTACTGTAACCGTGGGATGGATGGATGGACGGACGGATGGATGGATGGAGACCCTGATGTCCTGCCTTTCCGGGTGGTCGAAGGCAGTGAAGCAAGGGAGACCCTTGGAGCAGACAGATCCCTTTCCATCGCTGGCCAAGGCCCTCCTGTTGGGGAAGTGGCGGGGGCCACGGAGGTGCCCCTGTGAGGTGGGCTGGCTGTGGGAAGGCGGGCAGGGGCTGTCCTGAGGGGGGCCAAGCACCGTAGCAGACAATGACCTAACCCCGCTTCCCCCCCCCTGCATCTGCACAGCTCCACACACCCCCATTCTTACCTCAGCAGCCTCTTGTGTAACTCAAGAGCCCCGAAGAATCCACCGACGGGGCTGTACAGTATCTCCCCGCCCTGGCTGGCTCTCTAATTACCCTTCCCTCCGCAAAAGCCCATCTTGATTTACCTCCGACTCATCTCCTCTTATTTTTAGCCTGCCCTCCTTCGCCTGGAGTCCACACACTCCCCCCCCTCCTCTCCACTGGCCTCACACACCTCGCTGCCTGTCCCCCTTTCTTAATATGGTGATAAGAAAATGCCCTCGGATTTAGGCCATGAGAAGTCAAGGCGAGAGGGGAGGGCAGCGAGGGGTGGGCTGGGGTAAGAGGACACACCGAGGGGATTGGTGGTGGGGGGTCTCCAAAAGAGCAGCCTTCTGCCTCCCCCCCCCCGCACACACACACACCCTATACACACATGCAGCCCACACGGGCACACACGGGCACACACGGGCACACGCGCGCATGCCTCTCCCGCCAGACATGTGGGCGGGCCAGTGCCGCAAGCGGGTCCCCAAGGTTTAGGGACCACAGTGGCTGCCCACCGGGTCAGGGGTTCTTGCGCCCTCCCGGGGCTCTTGATCGCCCATATACATATATAGGCAGGGAGCAAAGGGGTGGGGTGTGCGCGGGCAGTGCCAAATGCCTCCGGCCGCGCCGGCCCCCTGGCCCCGGGGCCCTCCCCCTCCAGCTGCTTTTATGGCCGGCCTGTCACTCCCCGCCTTTGCTTGTGCAGCACGGCACCCAGCGGAGGAGGGCTTGTCACCACCCCGGACCAGGGCCCCCCTCCTCCCCCAGTTCGCCTGGCCTCCTCCTGTGTCAGCAAAGAGCCAAGACCTCTGCTCTGGTTCCCTGCCCCGCCAGCCACCTTAAAGAGAGGAAGGCAGCAGGCGAGGCAGGAGAGAGGGAGGGGAAGGAGGAAAGGAGGAAAGAAAGAAAGAAAGAAAGAAAGAAAGGAGGAAGAAGAAGAACCGAGAGGGGGCCCCCTCTTTCCACATCCATCTTTTGGGGCACTTTGATCTCGTCACCTCCAGGGGAGGGGGAAGGACCGCGGACCAGAGGAGCACCTCTCCCTCCCTCCCTCTCACTCTCTCTCTCGCTCGCTCGCTCTCCCCCTTGGCACCGGGCACCCCGTCCCCTCCAGAGCCTCCCCACCACCGGATCAGGATGAAGGGGCTCGGGCTGGCCTTGGCGGCCCTGCTGCTGGCTGTGGCCGGCCCCCTGGCGCGGGGCGAGGACGGGCTGGATTTCCCGGAGTACGACGGCATAGACCGGGTGGTGGACATCAACGCCAAGAACTACAAGGCTGTCCTGAAGAAGTTCGAGGTGCTGGCCCTCCTCTACCACGAACCAGTGGAGGACACCAAGGCCTCCCAGCGGCAGTTTGAGATGGAGGAACTGATCCTGGAGGTAAAGCTCGGGGCGGTCTCCAGTGGCCTGGACAGGGGTGCCAGCCTCCGGGTGGGACCTGGGGATCCCCCGGGAGGACACAGAGATCTGTCCCCCCCCCCTGGAGACAACCGATGCCTTGGAAGGTGGGCCCTGTGGCACTGCACCCTGCTGAGGTCCCCGTCTGCTCCAGGCTCCGTCCCCACATCTCCAGCGGTTTCCCAACTGGGAGCTGCCAATCCTCCCCCCCACCTCCCACCAGTGGCATCAGCTGGCAGGCATGGAGCTACCCACCATGGCGACTCTGGCCACGGGCCCTAACGCCAGCCAGCCACGCAGCTGCTTCTGAGGAGGGAGGCGGGGAGACCCAGGTGGTGGCAGCAGGGAAGCTGGGGGCAAGGGGGGGAAGGGGGGAGAGCAGCTGTTTGAGGGGGGACCTGCAGCAGCAGCAGGGGTTGTGCTCGTTTGTTCCGCCGCTCGCCGGGTGGGTCACTCGGCTGGCTTCTCCGTGCTCCTCCGGCTGCACCTGAACCGTCCTGCAGGCAGCGGCGGAACCCGATGGGCTCCAACCCTGTCCCTGGTGGAGGGTGCCGGACGAGGGCTGCCGGGGGGGGGGGGCAATGCCCCTGTCCCTGGTGGCGCCAACCCTGTAAGGCGCCTCTGGTGCTGTCTGCTGTGGGGAGGGGGATACGTTCTGTTGCAGGGGGCTGTAATGCCAGTGCAAACTAAGCAGTGGCGGTGGCAGCGGGGGGGGGGTATCTGCCCCCATCAGGCTGCTGTGAGGTGGTGCTGAACACCCCCAAAAAAAAACGTAATCTGCAGCGAGGCAGGGGATCTCTTGGTCCTATTGAACATCCACTCTGCACGCAGAGGATTCCCACCCACCACCCCCCCCCGGGGTTCAGTCCCCAGCCTCTCCAGCACAAAAAGGACCCTGTCGGTGGTGACGGCGAGGGGGGTGAGGGTCCAACTGGGAGAAGGGTTCTTCGGGGTGGGGGTGGGGTGCCTGCGCTCCTTCCCCAGAGCCGGGGTGTTTGTGGGGGGGGGGTCTGCAGCCTCTCCCCCAGCAGCACAGAGGAGCAGCAACTGCTCTAAATCGGCCATCGCCGTAATTGGAGTCTCGCTGGGACAGGAGCGGGGCTCCCACCCTTGCGCTGTCCTTAAAGGCCTGGAATAGTTTCCTCCTCGCAAATCTGGCATGGGGGGGGCGAGGGGAGGGCCAGCAAGGCCGGGCAGGGAGGCTGCATGCCAGCCGTAAGCACAGGTTTGTGGGAGAGGCATTCTCGAAGGGACTCAGGAGTGTAGGTCGGCCTCG